ATACTGGGATGAGCACTGCCCCTTAGAGTCGAACACGACTGGACAAAAAATGTCAAGGGGAACCTTTACCTTTAAATATATTTAAGGACATGTCTCAAAGATGTTTATTCACAGTTCCAGGCAACTAATTAACAAGCCAACATAGCAATTAGTGCAGCACCCTTCCTCAGTAGGGGAAGATAAATCTTCATTCTCCATCTTGGAAAACAACTAATAAATTATTGACACAAAAGCCCCTAACAACACAAGAGTTGAGCAGCTTGTTTTGCTTTTCATTCCAGGTGAAGGTTTGGAGAATGGGTTTGGAGAATGACTTTTTTAAACTACATGTTTTTAAAAGTATATAAAGTATAAAGTATATACTTGTAAGTTATCATACATATATATAACCAGATCACTTTGGAGTTTGTTTGCTTCTAACAACGTTGTGTGCGAAGCTTTATTTCTATTGGAATGTCCCCCATCAACTCTGTTCAGAAAACTTAGAAAAACTGTTCCTTTCCCATTGCTTCTATGAATCTAAATATTTACGTAGCAAGTATAAAACTGGTATTGTAGCTACATTAGAAGAACTGCAGCTCTATTGACCAGAGCTGAAGAAATGCTTAAAAAGGACAGAATGATAAGATCACAAATTTAAACAGCTGCACACATCTATAGCTAAAAAGCAGCAGGGACAAGAGGTCATAGACACCATGACAGATTTGTGTACACACCTAACACTACCATGTGAAATGTTTTGTAACACATAGCACATAAACAGAACATTAAAAAACTACAACAATCATGTCTGTCATTGTGCTTGATTTATTTTTAACCCTTTAAAAACTTTGTGTGATTGATGGCCAATTGCAACATGAAAAAGTTGACTAATAAGCTAATTGGACTGCGAACCAAGATTCCCTTTAAACTTTGCATGACTCCACCTTCCGTGCAATGTTTCTCCTTCACCTACCCACAGATTTGTTTTTAGTCCCTTTGGTTCTGCAATGAGGAGGCTGGAATTGTACACACCCAGGGGACTGAAAATTAAAAGGAATGTTGCTGGAAAAACATTTTTGATGCTGCCAAAAATGTTCCATTAACCTTTAGCTTAAAGACAGTTCTACATAATGGCCAGTAGGGGTCATTTCAGTATAAAAATTGTGCTGGAAGATGTTGACTCAAGGAGGAAAGGATCAGCTGAAATACTAATACAGTACTTATGATTTTGCACCAAATAACCTTTCATATGCAAATAACTTTTACATCAAGACTGTTCCCATCAAACCTTCTTTAATTAATCGATGGAATAAAACAAGTTATAACTCATGACCAATCTCAATCTGGACAAAAAATGCAAAAATAAGACCTAACCTGAAAATAAGTCCTAGTATGATTTTTCAGGATGCTCATAATATAAGCCCTACCCCCAAAATAAGCCCTAGTTAAATGAAACCCCGCCCTCCACCATTGTGCAGCGTTGTGCAGCAACCAGAAGATCACATGACTGTAAAATAAAATATCCCCTGAAATGCGTTTTTTGGAGCAAAAATTAATATAAGACCCTGTTTTATTTTCGGGAAAACATGGCATCTGTTGGAACTTTTAATTTTATTTATTTATTTAAAATATTTTTATCTTGCCTTTCTCCTTACAAAGGGCCAAGGCGACTTGGAGTATTAAACTATGTTCTTATTTGAAAGCTGACAACAATCTTGTGAACATATCCAATAACTTGGCAAAATTGTTTATAAAAAGCTTTAACTACAACATTACATATACTTCTCCAGCTAGGTAATTTGTCTAGCCAGTTTAGCTAATCTCCCAAGACCAGTGGTCAGGGAATAGGGGTAAATTACCCCAAATGGGGTAAAAATGAAAATCCTGGGGGTAATGAGGACATGACCCTAACCCCCTTCCCTCCTCCTCCTCCTCTGCCTGGAGGGGGGTCCTCAGCAGCCCAATCGCCCCCTTCCCACCCCCTTTTCCAGCCTGGCTGCAACCAAACCACGGTGGATGGTGGCCGGCAATGGACCCCAGCCGGTGGCATACGGCAGCCGAGGCAGCGGCAGGGCTGGCCATGGTGGAGGTCAAGGCTGGGGCAAGTGGCTGGAGCGCCCCAGCCAGGAGGAGCCTCTTCTTTCAGTGCATGGAGAGATGGATTGTGGCAGAGGAGGGAGGGCGCGGCCATGACAGGAGCCCAGGCCAGGCTCAGCCTCCTGGTGCTGGGCTGCTGCCCCATGCCTCATCCCCAGAGGAGCCTGTCGGGTGGCAGCAGGGCTCACCTGGCCTTGCAGCTTCCTTCAGTAGTGTCTCTGCGCTGACCAGCTAGGCCTGGAGGAGCCTCTTCCCCTCCAGGCGGCAGCTGTCACAGTGCTTCGATCGCAAGGCTCACGGCCACCCCGGCGAGCAGCCGCCAGAGCCGGAGCAGCAGGCGGCATTGAGTGCCCCCGGAGGGCGAGCCACCTGCTGCTCTTTGAAGGCTGCCCAGGAGTTGCCCCTGCGGGGCCATGGACTGAGTGCGGCTCTGCCAAGCGGTGGAGGCGGTGGCCTGGGCAGTGAGGCTTCGGCAGTGGCGCTTGACTGGCCATTTGTGATCAAGAGCCTTCCTTTCAAATCAAGGGGGTAATGTCGGCGTATATAAATTTTTAGAGGGTAAAAGGTAAAAAAGTTCCCTGACCCCTGCCCTACACTATATTTCTGTTAAAAGAGAACAGCAAGCCCACCACTAACTGAAGTCGCTTCTTCAGGGACACTCCATATTATTCTCCCCAAAGAATATCAGATATATTTGAAAATGAACACTAACAATAACCTGCATCACTTGCAAAAAATCAGAATTGTCCTAAAACTGATAGAAAGTTTTCCCACTCAAGTTTAAATATCCTGTTGTACATCACCTCAAAGTCCTCCTATGCAATGGGTGTAATCATTCAAGGAGGCAAAATATCAAAGTATTGAAATAGGTTTTCTACATAATTTCCCTTTGGTACGGTCATGAAGATGACATGTTGCATGCAACAATAGGGTGGAATATCTTTCCTCGACAGCTATTTACTTCATCCAGCACCTTTATATTGTCTAAATTTGCCCTTTACATATATTCAGATAAAATACAATGCCAGACTGTTTATTTATGATAGAGCAAAAATAGTAGGTCTATAGTAATTTTTCACTATATCTATAAAACCCAAATGGGTGGAGGGGAAATCATAAAATATACACAAAACTGTATTATCTTATTTGCTGCATAAACAGGAGTAATGATACTGCAGTTGTAGACATATTTACACTACAAACTTTATTTTCAAATATAAATTACAAGAATAAAAAAGAAAGGTTTGTAAAGTACTGTACTGTATGCGTTTAGCTTTAGCTGCCTGTGTTCCCAATTATTCAAAGGCATTTGAGCCTTGTGTGGCCCTCTAGTGGATAAAATAATCACCCTTATTTTGAATAATGGGGGAAGAGAGGAAAATTTCCATACACTTTTTTCATTCTCATCAGCACTGTATTCTCTCAAACTTTTCCATTGAGTGAATGTGGTAATGAAAAGACTGAACTCTCTCATGCCAGTTGTGCTGACAGTTATGAGACAAATATGCATACACTTCCAATTATACAACTTCACCACATCATGAAAGAATTAAGATAAAATATGAATGACCAATAGGATACCTTTTTTTGTATATGAAAAGGAAAATGAGTAGGCCTCCCTACTCCACATATTTGTGATGATAACGTGGAAATCTGACAGTATAGAATCACACTGCTTTGCTTAAGAGATTCAAGAGCCATCACAGCTCAGTCCAAATGTAAAGACTGAAAGGACTGGTGCCAATTTGACATTTTTTAAACATTTTTGCTGGATGAGATAAGCAATGTGCTTTAAGATACTGCACAAAACGTACACCATCCGACTTATTAGTAGTCTATAATGTTCTGAACATTCTTATTTCATTAAAAGAAATAATCAGGCCATTATATGGTACAGTACTGAAAATAAAAGAAAGTTTAGTTGCTACTTAATAGGTCATTAATAGCCATATGTTTGCATATCTAGATTAAGGCAGCAGCCATTTATACAACTGCCAACAAATACCTCAACGCATCTTAGACCCATATAATACTAGTTCGGTGTGGCATACAAAAGAAAACTGAAAAATATCAAAGTTAAAGCAAAGAAAAAAACTGAACATAAAAACACCTCATTACATACAATAAACTTCTCCCCTTCTCCCCTCTCAGATACATTAACATGTCCTTATTTTTCAGTTACAAGTCAAAAGCACCTGGAATGCCCAATCCAACAACTACAAACAAGCAAAATGGAAGGAATCTTAAAGGAATATAGAACAGTGGAACCATACCCCACCCAGTATGACAGAAAAGTACTTATAACATCAGCAACAGGAGCATGCACACTAGTTCAGAGGTATTTCTCCACAATTTTTCCCCAACGATGGGTCCTTGGAAAGAACATCCATTCGATGGAGGCAAGAATAGAAAAGAACTATGAGAATACTGTACGCGGTGAGGTATGTGCGCAAGAAGGGGCAGAACACAGAGCCGAATCAACACACCACCACACTAGGCAGCCTCCACCTTTCCTTGGAATTCAGCTGCCAGACTGCAAGGTAGTTAGCAACCTCCTTTCACACCAACTACGTATTGAAACATGGAGCGGCGGCTGGCCAGAAACGGAAACCGCGCAGCACCGCAATCTGGGGGAGGGGAGTAAAAACCAGCACACGGCAAGATCTCAGAGGAGATCCCGATTCCTTCCAGCACCACTGCCACCATCACAGCCGCCCCCTGTTCTCCTGGAAAGGCCAGCCAACTCTCAGTCGTCCCCGACTTCCGAAGACACGCGCCCCTTCAACTCTCTCTTTCTGCAGTCAGCGTAGGGACGGAGACGCAAACTGGCTCGATCGCCGGGAGGACTGGGGTGGGGGGGGTGAGGAGAGAGAGGAAAGAGGCGACGATCGGCTCCCCCCCCCTTTTTTTTTCTTTTTTACCTTCACAGACGCCCGCTTCGTACTCCGTGAGCGAGTCCCCGCTGAGCGGAGGGCGGATCACACAGCGCAGCCCGCGGTCGCAGG